AGACCCAACACCCCACCAAAACTCAGCAGGGAAGCTCCAACAGCACCCACCTTAATGAGTTTCAAAGAGATTCTCCCAACAATCAGGCTGCATCTTCCTCTATTTAAAGCGCACATGGGAATGAATTTTGCAAGGCAGGAATCTACAACTTCTTATGAAATCAAAACACACTCCACTAAATGGTTTTTCTCTTGTGTCCTTCAGCTCATCACTTACCTTTTGCAGACTTCTGGGCAGAGTTGTCATATGCTTCGCTTAGTTAAAAAAAATTAACGTCAGCAAATTTCCAGGTTTCAAGAAATCTCTTCTAAATCAAGTAATGTTTTTCAAACATTCCTCGCGAAATACCTCTGTTTCCCATTCAGATTCATTTTTTAAGCTGTAAAGAAGAATGTGATCTCACAGGTACTCACAGAAATTTTTCCAGTACGATTGGCTTCCTCTCTTTCCGCCAGGGCCCGCAAGAAATTATCTTTCAGTTCTTTTCCTACGCTTGCTAGCGACCTAGGAAAAAAATGGTACCATTATTACTACTAATTACTGCCACAGACTTTGCGTTCGCAGTCAGGTTAAGGGTTCTGCAAATATAATGGAACAGTCCTCGCCCTATCGTAGCTAATTTGTCTATTTCCTATTCTGCTTTTACAAACTCTTAAAGCATTCTTCAAAGTTCATCACTACTGCAGATGTACGATGTAATAGCACTTTATCAGAAGATGACGTCTACCAACATACATTTTCAATTACACATCCAGAACTATCTATGCATTTATTTTACATCTGCAGAATTATGGCCAAAGTCACGTTTACATAAGAATACCAAATTTTCACAGTATATCAATACAAACTTAAACAGATTTAATACCTTATTCTTCAGCCAGCAACTAATCAAATGAACTCCTACATACTTAGACTGCTTGGTGTGGTAGGGTCAATATAGTTGTTGTACAAAGTACAAAGCATGAAAAGAAAAACCAATTTTGCTCCACAAAAACTGGCAAAAAATAGGTACAAGAAAGGACACCATACACTAAAAATTACTTGCTAACCTTTGAACGCAGTGCCCTAGAGTTCAAACAGTCATTAAAAATGGAAAACCCGCATCAGATGGACACAAGCACTCAACATTGGACAAACCCTTTGGGCAGGGGTAGAGTCCACTTTCTCCACAGTAGCTGGCACGGGGCCACGGTTTGGGTCTGTGCTGGAAACGGTGTTGATAACCCCGGGATGGGTTCGTTCCCGCTGAGCGGGGCTCGCACAGAGCCAAGGCCGTTTCTGCCTCTCACCCCACCCCACCAGCGAGGGGCTGGGGGGCACAAGGAGCTGGGAGGGGACACGGCCGGGGCGGCTGACCCCCACTGACCCCAGGGACATTCCACACCAAATTCCACGTCGTGCTCAGGGTAGAGAGCTGGGGGAAGGAGGAGGAAGGGGGGGACATTGGGGGCGATGGCGTTTGCCTTCCCAAGTCACCGTTAGGCGTGATGGAGCCCGGCTGTCCTGGGGACGGCTGAGCACCCGCCTGCCCTGGGAGGGAGGGAATGAATTCCTTGCTTTGCTTTGCTTTGCTTGCACGCGGGGCTTTTGCGTCACCCATTAAACTGCCCTTATCTGAACCCATGGGTTTTCTCACTTTTACTGTTACGATTCTCTCCCCCACCGCACCGCACCGGGAAGCGGGGGGAGCGGCGCAGTGGCATGGAGGCACCCGG